CGGACAATTTCTGGACATGCCAGATTTATTCTGGACAATTTCCGGACATTTTCGCAGACATTTTCCGGACATTTATTTTTTATAGGGATAGATAAAATATCTCCAGTATCAATCTCACTAGATGGTAATTACATCGCAAGCTTTAATATATTAAATGAGACGGTTTCACTATGGAGTCGCCCTACAAATTCATTTAATCTTGATGAGAAGGTTCTTATAGGAAATTGTGAGATTGATATTAAAAAGATGATTGATATTTCTCAAGAAAAATTTGATGGCAAGTTTGGTTTAACCGTTTCTACAAAGATGCTTCCATATAACTATTTACAGTTTAAAGGAATATTCATTATCTTATTTTATCAACCTGAAGAAAATGAATCTGAAGAAGTCAAACCCATAATATTGTATAAGGAACATAAAGATATAAAGCGTCTGGAATATTCTTACCCAGTTTGTTTGAAAAGTGTTAAGGGTATTGCCAAATTTCTTGTTGATGGTATGACACTTGTTGTTAAAAATAAAACTACTTTCTATGTTGTGTCCATTTCTTCTTGGCCCTGGACTTTGATCCGTAAATTGAATCATGTCAACATAGCTGAATCAATAATCACCTTTAATCCATCAACATTCAAGAGTTATATTCTTTTACCCCAGTGTAGCAAGAAATTTCTTAGCATGATTAATGTTCGCGCTGGTTACAGCCCTATAAAAAAAGAAAATTTGGAATTTATCCTGAAAAGTATGGAAAATGTCCGGAAATTTTCTGTGCGTCCGGAAAACATTCGGAAACGATCATGTTTTTGAACATTTTCTGGACACTCGATTCTGGACAAATTCTGGACAAATTCTGGAGTGTCAAGAAAATGTCTGGAATTTGTGCGTCCGGAAAGTATTCCAAAACGTGACCGTTTCTGAATGTTTTCCGGACGCACAGAAATTTTCCAGACATTTTCCATACTTTTCAGGACAGATTCCAAATTTTCTTTTTTTATAGGGCAGCAGTCCTTCACATATTATAGCAAAATCTTGTGTTGGGTATAAAATGATCATTTCTTCAAAAGGTGATCTACTTGCATTTGAAAATGGATCTATCATTGAACGTCAAACAGGATTGAATATAGCAAGACATAATGTGGCAGATATGAAGGATTTTGCATTTGTACATGATGATCGTCATCTACTTAAAATTTGTTTTAATGAACTTTCTATGAGCGCCACATTGATTGATGCCCGCTCAGGCATTAAATTGGCAACAGTAATGCTACCAAAACTTGAATCAGATTACCTTAAACACATAAGACTTATCAAGGATGGCCGAATTATAGCCGTGATCCTACAATCTGGTTTTAGTTCCCTTGTTGTTGAAGAATGGAATTGGGAAAAAGCCTTTTGCATACAGTCAACAAAATATCTAAATTCTTTTACTTATAATAATATTTATTGGCCTGATAATTTAATTAATTCCTATGAGATTACAAATAAAAGTTTAAAAAAGAAGGCATTATCAATTCACAATGATAAAGAAAATTATTCTTTGGTATTTTCTTGTTATAATGTGAAATGCCCTACTGGAGCAATATTTTTTCACTTAGATGAAGAGAGTGCTATCATGGTCACGCCTGATTGTATTTTCTTATTTTGGGAAAAAGATGGGATTTTAAGTGCTTGGTATGGTTATTGTATAAGTCAAAAATCAAAGCATTTTCATGTCAATATATAGACCACATTTCCGATACTCGAGTTTTGCAGTTTTGCATAACCTGCAAAGATAATAAGAAGCTCTACACCTTGTTGCCCTTAGATTTAGTTATAGAGGGTCAAAGTTTAACTGCTGAATGGATGCAAAGTAGTTGTCATTATATTGAACAACAGAAAAGCAATAATATCTCACAAATCCACTTACTCACTATCAAACAATATATTAAATGCAATGCTTTTAATAATACAATGGCTATTTATGATCTTATTAACTGCAATGCTGATGAAATAGTAAGGGAAATTTTAAAATATGACCATTATATACCAACAATTGTTTGTTACAAAAAAAATCCTTTGATAAAAGCAATTAAAATGCATAAAACTTCCTTAACGCAACAAATAATTGATTATTGTTGGCACCAGTGCTCTAACAAAGATGAACCAGGATTTATGTCTGTAGTCGTTGACGTACTTCCTCAACTTGCTACTCAATATCCACATATGCTTTCTACTTTATTGAAGCAACTTACATTTGCAAAAATTCCAACAAGCTGGGAAATAAATAAACCAAAAAAGGATAAATCGTCTTATAAAAATCTTTGGACTCATAAGCTTGATGGTTCTATTTCTTTTGGTATCAATGAAGATTATGAGACCAATGACATGTTAGTATATTTTCTGCTTTCTAAATCTTATGTATTCTTTAAATTTTACTAATTATACTAATTATATATTAAGGATGAATGGTATTTCATGCTTAACTACATACTGTTATGTCCCACTACCTGGCTTATGTCATTATTCAAATGTTACTAAATTAAACAACCCAAATTTTTCTAAATTATGCATATATATCATTACGTATCTTTTTCTTGATGTACGTGAATTAAGCCCCTTCGCAAAACTAACTTTACTCCAATCTTTTGAAGCATTTCAGTCAAAACCTTTTGAGGCAATTGTTACATTCAAGTGGAACGCCTTTGCAAGAAGTTATTTCCTAGTGTTTCTTTTTTATTATCTCGCTTATTTCATTCTCTTTGCTGCGGCAATTCATACTAATAACAGCTATAGTGAAAGTTTTATGATAACAGCCTATATTTTGGGAGTATTTTTAGCAATTTTATGGATTATACGAGCTGTTGTATACATTGTTAATATTATATTTATAAAAAATGAAAAAAATGAAACCTATATATACTCTCTTCGCTTTTTTAAAAATTTTACAACTTACATCGAATTAATAGCATATGTCCTTCCTGTTATTGCTGGATCCCAAATTAATAGTAGTCCTGAACTCCGATCCATTTCTATTCTATTCTTATGGATCTATTTTGTTGCACAATTGCGTGTTTTTAAAGGTATTGGTATTTTTATTGCTGGTAAGGATTTTTCAGAAACTATAAATTAATTAAAAAATAAACAACTAAACAATAAATATTCTAATTTTTCTATTACACAAAGTTTACACACATATTTTTATAAAAATTAGATGGTTATTATTATTAATAACCCTTATTCTACTCGCTTTTGCCCATCCATTGATGGTTCTCTCGTCGGAAACCCTAATAGTGGAATGAAATTTTATCAATCACTCAAAAATGCATGGCTTATGCTTTTAAATGATTACAGTTCTCTAGATTCGCAGACAGAAAATTACCTTTCGGATATTTTAAAGATTACCTTTTCATTTAGCACAACAATTATAATATTTAATATTTTAAGTACGTGGCTAATAAAATCTATTTCTTCTTTTCTATAAATTTCTAATATTATTATTTTCTTTTTAACAGTTGCGCTCATGAATAATACCTATAAAAAAATATATAAAAATGCACGTACCGCATGGGTTATGCAGAGAGCAGAAGTAATTGTAAATATTGAAATTTTATTGATTCATTATTTTAATTGGTAAGCTCAATAACTTCATTAGTTATTATTGCATTTTAAATATATATACATGTCTAAATAATATTAATTTTATAGTAAATTGTTTTATGGTGATTGTTTCCCTTGGAGTATTATTTACAAAGCTTTAACTGAAGAGGTTGATGAATGGTCTAAAGAGAAAGGAAACATCCAGACGACTGATGAAGTAACAAACGAGATGAAAAATGAAATAAACAAAATAAAGGGTGAAATAAATAAAATGATGACCGAAAAAATGATGCATGAATTGACGGAATGAATTGAGAAAATTTATCTCTGCCGAATTGCAGAAAATTCCTGCAAAGGAAAAACTATAGTAGCTAAAAAATTTTGTACAAATTTCCTTGGTTAGATCAGACTTTACACAGCATCAATTTAAATGGTAACCTTACAGGCCCACACCCATCAGCAGGAAGCCACATCAGCAGTAGGACAAACTTGGGGGTTCTGGGACAGCGGCTATCACATAGGTCTAACCATAATTTAGTGTACCCCCAGACCACCTAGCCTTGATTTCTGATATGATAACAATATACCTGTTTTTCTATCCCCAGACCACATAACCTTGATTCCCGATATGTTATTACTTGATAGCTAAAAAAGAACCCCCAAACGTTGTAGATAAGATTAAAATCATATATTCCTAAACATTATTACCACACATAGATCTATTCCAGGGTATCATAATTTTATGCTATATCAGATTGCCTTTATAAGTGCTAAAGGTATGAAGGACACGAAGTGTCTGTAATACTGATAGCACGATTCAGCAATCTATTGTGGCATACTATTTTTATGATACTCTAAAATGGATTCATTCGATAATTTAAGCCATTCATGCTCTAACCAAAAATTTTTAACAGGAAGGCAACTAGACATATTGTAAAGCTTTTCCTGCTATACGAAAAAATCTGGGACAGCGAAGTCTAACCAAAAATCTAACCCAGGTCTAACCAAAAATGTATAGCAGGAAGGCAACTAGATATGTTTTAAAGCTTTTCCTCCTATACGAAAAAATCTGGGACAGCGAAGTCTAACCAAAAATCCGACCCAGGTCTAACCAAAAAATGTATAGCAGGAAGGTAACTAGATATATTGTAAAGCTTTCCTTGCAATACGAAAAAATCTGGGACAACAGGTCTAACCAAAAGTCTAACCAAAAATCCGTCCGAGGTCTAACCAAAAAATATACAGCAGGAAGACAACTAGACATATTGTAAAGCTTCCCCTGCAATACGAAAAAATCTGGGACAATAAAGTCTAACCAAAATTTAACCCTAATCATAAATTGCTCTGATTCTTTGACGAAGCCTATTTTCATACCGATTTTGATAGTAACTTCCAATATGAGATTGACATCGACCACTAGATGAACCTGTAGGTTTACCACATACAGCACAAGGAAAGCGTGATTTTGTCTTCCAATGAATGCGACAACCTTCTGGCCTCACACAAGGACGACCACAAGGCTTTCCTGTGTTATGTAAATATTCACAAGTATATTCTCCAATCATTTTTATTAAGTATAAATAAGTTAAATTAAAAAAAACTTTACAAGATATAAAAATGTCTACCCAAGCTATACCAGCTAAGCCAACATACCGTGAAATTGAGTCAGCTCTAATTGCAGTAATTAAAGCAGGCATCCTTTACAAGAAACCAAAGGATGGTAAATTCATGTTATGTTACAAACAAAGGATAATCAAATTGCGTCAAGCAGAAGAACCAGAAAATTTTGTTCTTGAAACAGCACAATCTATTCTACCTAATGAGACAAAATATCAGCAAATCTTGGAAAATTATAAGACCTGGTATAGCAGAGAACCAAAACTTTTGTCTGCTATTAATAAGCTATACAGGTTATACTACGAATTGGCAAAAGACTACTTCCTTACAGACTCCCAAGCAGATGATGAGGTAGAAGACTATCTTAATTCATAAGTACCCATTGTGGTGGAAGTTCTGTATCATCTGGTATAACCAAAAGTTCTTCCCTCACAAAGGATCTCTCTGATTCTTTACCATCATCATCAATAAGCCAGTACAAAACTGGTTGATTTTTCTGTGTTAAAGACATATGGATATGATAAATCTTAGGTGACCAATTCATATCTCCTGCTCGACGTCTTCCACCTTCCAGATCATTTGGTTCAAGTAAGTACCTTACACTTATATCAGGTGGTAGTTTCTCTTCTTCATACCCAACAGGTCCATCACGAGGATAAGAAGATCTGGAAGACACTCGTGATTTTTTTATAGCTACAGCAGGAGATATACCAAGTTGTTGGGTCACTGAGTTATTTATACTTTCTACAGCAATAGGTAAGTTTTTTACCCAGACTCGAGATCTCGTTTTACCTAAAGTTAGTAAGTCAGATGCATCTTGAGAGGGAAATAGTTTCTCAACCAAGGTACGATTATATCGCTCCACAATGCCAACAGTACGCTTAGACTTGGCCTTCTGAATCTTTACACCATGGGAAGTCATCAGCTTTTCACACTCACCTTTAAACTCTGAACCCCTATCTGTAATCAATAATTTTGGCCAAGTGAGCGGACATGTTGTATCATCATATACCTTTTCAAAAGCCCGAGCAATAGTATGAGAAGTTAGGATTCCCTGTCGATCTTTAACACTGGTTGAACCTATAGGGACACTTTCTTTATACCTTGATGCTATATCAACTATATTGAGACAGAAAAGATAAGTCACATGTCCAACCTTGTCATATGGCATATACAAAATGTCAGCTTGATGAACTTCATTGGGAACTTGTATAGAACTAAAACTTACACGAGGGATAAATCGGGGACGAGGTTTGTGGATTTGATGTACTGCCTGTCTTTCAAGCCAATCCTCCACTTCATCCAAGGTGAAATCATATCCAGCATTTTGTGATGTCTGATACAATTTTTTGGCAGTCCTCTGATATCCAGATGGTTGGTAAAATATTCTGCATAAAGTCGAAGTCACCTCTACATTTCGTGCTTCATCAGAATCTATTGGAATAATAGGAATCAATGGGAGTTGAACAGGCATATCTTGATCTGCTAAATAGCAACTTTGCTTTACGTAAAGAGCTGATATTAGAGGAAACAAATAATATTTCCAATAAGGAGAAAATCCGTAAACTCACAAAGGAGATAGAGGCATGTGAACGATATATCTTCTATCTTGAAAAAAATCTTGTTTCACGTGAGGATGAGATCGATCAGTTAAAGGCAGAGTGTCAGTCCACTTTAGTTGAACTTGGAAAGTATCGAGATCACTTAGAGTTAAAGGAAGAGGCACTTGTTGCCCAGGATGAACGTATTATTCAGCTTGAAGACACAGTAGATAAACTCAAAAAACGCATTCAAGAATTATCTTTATGTAAAGGAAAGATAGAAATGGATGAAGATAATGAATTATTCAATCCTATTCTAAGAATACTAGACCGCCGACGGGCAGTTGCAGATTGTGTGTCTGAGATTCGACTATTTTTTGATCGGAATAGGATTCCAATTCCACAAGACATAGATGATGTCTTTAATGCTACCACTCAAAGTCTTGATGAAATTATTCGTCAAGCTGCTCTAATGCAAGAAATTGGTGTAGACCAACTAAATCAGATAGAAGGATTGCAGACATTACTTGGAGAATCTTTAGATCGTACAAATGCTCTTAATCAAGACTTAATAAGAGTACGTGATGATTTTACATATGAGACAAATGCTCGTAGACACTGGGAAACTGTTGCACAACAGAATCAAGCACGTATTGCAGGAATACAAATAGCCAATCTAGGTATACGTTTTCTGAATAGACGTAAAGATGCACAACTGGCAAACCAGCAGAATCAGCTGGTAAATCAACAGAATCAGATAGCAAACCAACAGAATCAGATAGCTGAGCATAGAAGGAATGCACACAGGCTGATGTTACGCTATAATGCTGATACAGAACGTTGGAGAAGAAGGCATGCAGGTTGTATACGTCAGGCACAAAACTGGCAAAGACAATATAGGATTTCACAGACCCAAGTACAAGCACAGGCCCAAAATATTTTAAATTTACAACAACAAATATTAGCGTTACAAAACAATCCTCCAAACATGGCTACAATACAAGATGTCATGCATACTATATCACCAGGTCTTGCACAGTTACCATTTTATGATGGACAAGAGCCGCCAGACTCTTATTATCAAAAGCTTAGAGCTGTCAATGAAATGGCTCGTCCACTAGCTGTTGCTGTTTTTAATGCTGCTATGAGGTGTAGTGTTATGAAAAATAAAATGTCTGGTAGATTTATTCCTGTTCCAGCAAATAATCCATATAATGCCAATGCTGCTATTAATACAGAACCAGAGTTTCTAAACTGGCTGCAAGGAAAATATAGAGATGTGATGGTTGGAACAAATCAAGGTGCTATAATAGCACTCATGAATGAATCATTTTCTCCTATAGATACACCAGATACATATGCAAAAAGGATTCGATCATTAGCACAAGGACAAGTATATGCTGAAATTTTACCTTATCTATATAATCATTTGCCTGATGTTTTAGAAATGAGAGTTAGAATTGCTGCTCCTGCTGATCTTGATGCTTTCTTTAATGAGTTACGTAATAAATGGTATGAAAGTGGAGGGCGAAAAAATCCAACCACTATAGTAGAACAACCACAGAATAGAACTGCATTAGAAAAGCTTGCAGATATAGCAGTACGTCTTGGCTATACTGGTGACATAACAAATCCTGTAGCAATACATACTTTCATTGAGAGTGATCTTACCAGAAAGTTAGGTGGACAAACACAACATCTAAGAAAAGATCACTTCGGAACTGGTCAGGTTAAAAAGGTGACAAAGACAACCAAATCTTCTCCTAAACGTCATTGCTCAAACTGTGGTAGAACAGGTCATTCCAAAAACAAGTGTTCACGGAGTAGACGTACTAAGAAAGTTAACAATACTCACATAGTTGACTATGAAGAATCTGAAAGTGATGAGGAAACTGATGAAGAAACTGAGGAAGAGTTAACTGAAGAAGAAGAGGAGGAGGATGAACCTCAGAATTGCTTTAGTGTAAAAAAAAAACTCATCAACGTGGAATTTCGGTAAAAAACAAAGGGAAAAAATCCCGTACTTCCAAATCTAAAAGAGAACCTATTCTCAAGAAAACTGATGAAGTCTTTCATGCAGCACTGAAGTCTATAATTGCTTCACTAGCAGTACAATGTCCTAAAGAAATCCTCCTACAGATTAATGCTTATA